CAATTGAGATGATCATGTGGTTTTTGTCCTTTCTCTGGTTGATGTGATGTATTACATTGATTGATTTGCATATATTGAACCACCCTTGTGTCCCTGGGATGAACACCACTAGGTCATGATGTATAATCTTTTTTGTGTGTTGTTGGATTCTATTTGCTAATATTTTGGTGAGGATTTTGGCGTCTATGTTCATCAGTAATATTGGCCTATAATTCTCTTTTTTTGTAGTGTCTTTGCCTGGTCTTGGTATCAGGGTGATGGTGGCTTCATAGAATGAGTTTGGGAGTATTCCCTCCTTTTCAATCTTCTGGAAGAGTTTGAGAAGGACTGGTATGAGTTCTTCTTTGTGTGTTTGGTAGAATTCCCCAGTGAAGCTGTCCGGTCCTGGACTTTTATTTGTAGGGAGGTTTTTTACTGCTATTTCAATTTCATTTCTAGTGATCGGTTTGTTCAAGTGGTCAGTTTCTTCTTGATTGAGTCTTGGTGGACAGTATGTTCCCAGAAACTTGTCCATCTCCTCTAGGTTATCCAGTTTGTTTCCATATAGTTTTTCATAATATTCTCATATGATATTCTGTATTTCTATTTTATTTGTTGTAATCAAACCTACTAATTTTTAATTTTATGGTTTGTGCTTTTGTGGTTTGAAAGAAAATTTCATTTTTTTCTTTTTTTATAATTTACAGTGTATTAGTTCCTGGTGTGCAGCATAGTGATTTAGATATATATAAATATATATATTTATACACTTTCCCATATTCTTTTTCATTACAGGTTACTACAAGCCACTGAATATAGTTCTCTGTGTTATGCATTAGGATCTTGCTGTTTTTTATGTACATAGTAGTTTGTATCAACCAACCCCAAAATCCCAATTTATCCTCCCCTCTCCCTTTCCCCCTCTCCAACCATATGTTTGTTTTCTATGTCTATGAGTCTTTTTCTGTTTTGTAAATAAGTTCATTAGTGTGTGTGTGTGTGTTTTAGATCTACATATAAGTGATATCCTATGATATTTTTCTTTCTCTTTCTGGCTTATTTCACTTAGGATGATGATCTCCAGGTCCGTCCACATTGCTATAAATAGCATTATTTTCCTCTTTTTTACGGCTGAGTAGTATTCCATTGTACAGATATATTACAATTTCTTTATCCAGTCATAAAATCCATTCTTTATCATTAATTTTTGACAGTTTCATTATAATATGTCTTAGAAAAGGTCTTTTTGCATTGAAA